GAGCAGTGTAGACCCTGCACCCCAGTCAGCCCCACATATCCAGCAATTAGGCAGCATGGTGGTCACATTCAGCCATGAGCTCCCCACACACCCTACAACCCCCTGCCCTCACTCCTGCGCCCCCTCATTACCCAATCACCTGCCATGGCTCTTGCACTCCCTCACATCCCCAACCCCTGCCTTGACTCCTGCACCTCCACCCTCAACACTTTCTCCCTCACTTACATTTTTTACAAGTATTTTTCTATCACAACCCAACTTCCCCCGCAACCTCCTGCCCCACCTCCCCTGGGAGGATTACATTATAATAGTACCTGTAAAAAAATTAAGTTACTTTCACCCCTGCAAACAGGATCCAAATAGCTGTTCATCCCTTCCTCCTCTGCCCACACCCAGATCTCATGCACACCCACAAGAGGTCCCACTTTTGTGAGTCTCCTATACATGAACCTAGCCTCAAAGAAGACCCAGATGCCCCTCATTCGGGGGGCAGGAGGGAGCTCTCCTTGTAGCAGAAGCAGCATGAGGGATGGTAGCTTTGAGCTGAATGCATAGCACATGAATACAACAGGGCCCCATATAATTAAGTAATTATGGTGAGTTTTCTGTGCTGCATCACTGCCTTTTACAATCACATGTAATTACAGGAATCCAGGAGTTGTGACTTCAAGAAAAACTCCAAACATTATGAGACTCTCCATAAAATAGCAGGAATTGGGAACACATCCTCCCTTATTCCCTTTTTTCCATCATCTTCCAACCATTGCATCTACTCCCTTTGAAACTCCTCCGACCCTTGGCACACCCCACTGGTCCCTAGTTCCTCTCTCGCATTCACTCATCTAGGGGCTTCCACATGGATTAGCATGAGTCCATTTAGAAAAAGCCAGTGCAATCATTTCCATCACCATACCTTGTGAATGATTAATAGCACCTATGCACCACCAGAGCAGGGAGTGGAAACCTATTTTATATTTCTAGTGGTCATTTGATATTTCCATTTATCTTACTACTTATTAAAACCCATTTTATCTTGGGTTTTATTTTGTACTATATTAGCAACTCATAGTGAACAATAAGTTAGTTCAAAACCTGGTGATTATAGCTTGTTATATACTCCCAGTAACATTCACTTCATCGTTTCCTACCTTAAGATCATTAGACAGAAGGGCCAAACTCGACTCTCACACTAATACAAAAACATTAATTCCCATTTACACCGTGTAACAGATTAGTATATGGTTCTACTTCTGTTCAGTTCCTCCTCACCTAGACCCTTGCGTGTGGTGTAAGCAGGAAGTTTAGACCTCTCCACCTGCCCGCTTGTATCTGATTTTGTAACAAGGATAATGCAAGCTTTATTGATTTCATGCCAGCCACTGTATCAATGTCTCTAACAGATTGAACTCTGGGTTTAATACCAGTTAACACCAGCAAGCAGATTAAACAGGAACACTATATCTGAAAAGCAAATGAGCCTACCCCCTTCCATGCCTTGGAAGACTTCAAAGGGCAGGACAACTTTGGAACATGCAGTTGCTCTGGAACTCAAGTTTTCTGTTATGGAAGGAATAAATTCCCTGAGTGCAACTCTGAGCACTACTGTCTTTGTCTGGAGCAGTGTTTCCCAAAGCATGGGCCACAGCCTGGGAAAAAAAATACCAGGCCTCAGTGTGGATGCTGGGAGAGGAGCAGGGTGGGGTGGGCTGGAAGGAGGTGTGTGTGTGGGGGGGGAGAACCGGCTGCCGGGAAGC